TCTCTCTGCCTCTCTCTCTCTCTGCCTGTCTCTTTCTTCCTCTCACTGCCTGTCTCTTTCTCTCTGCCTGTCTCTCTTTCTCTCTGCCTCTCTCTTTCTCTCTGCCTGTCTCTCTGTCTCTCTCTGCCTCTCTCTTTCTGCCTGTCTCTCTCTTCCTCTCTGCCTGTCTCTCTCTTCCTCTCTGCCTGTCTCTCTCTTTCTCTCTGCCTGTCTCTCTCTTTCTCTCTGCCTGTCTCTCTCTTCCTCTCTCTGCCTCTGTCTCTTTCTCTTTGTCTCTCTGTCTCTCTCTCTGCCTCGGTCTCTCTTTCTCTCTGCCTCTCTTTCTCCTTCTGCCTCTGTCTCTTTCTCTCTCCCCTCACTCTACCTCTCTCTCTCTTTCTGTCTGCCCCGCCCCCTCTCTCCCCCAGTATCTCTGTGTCTGTCTTCTTGTGTCTATGAATCTATCAGTTTGCCCGCCTCGCTCTCTCTTTCCCTGGATCTCTCTGTCCCTCCCCCACCTCCCTTGTTCCACCCGCTTCTCCTCCCTGACCCCAGGACCTCACCTGTCACCAGCAGCTCCAGGGGATCGCTGGGCTGGGACCAGACACCCGGCCTCCAGTCTGGCCTCCGGTAGCAGCAGTGGTAACTTCCCCCTTGGGCTGGTGTCACCTCCTCCAGAAAGAATTCTGCCAGCTCGGAGGACACATCCCGGAAGAGAGGGGGACTGATCTCTCCAAGCTTGAAAAGTCCAAATCTCCAGGCGGGTTGGGGTGCCCGGCACCTCAAGGTCACATTGACCCCAGGGGTCACAACTGTAGCCGGCTGAGCTCCCAGCCATGGCTTGTGGTATAAAGCTGGGGGGACTGAATAAACGGGGCTGCCTGGGTCCTCGGGCCTCCTGGGAGCCCCAGAAGATGACAGGGAAGTTGGGGAAGGAGGAAAATCACCTTGAACGATTACTGCCTCTTTCTCAGTCTCAGTTTCCTGTTTGTAAAATCAGTTTCCTGTTTGTAAAATCAGGGAGAGACTGGACTACAATCACAGCTTGTTAAAACCAGGTGCAAATCAGAGGGGCAGGACAGAAACTTCTGAGCTTTACTCCACAGTTTGTAAACACAGTAGTCAGGTCCCAGAACTCTGTAATTTTATTTTTTTTAAGTAATGAGATGGGGGTGTCTCCCTATGTTGGCCAGGCTGGTCTTAAACTACCAGCCTCAAGCAATCCTCCCACCTTGGCCTCCCAAAGTTCTGGGATTACAGGTGTGAGCCACCACAGACAGCCAGAACTCTAATTTTAAATAACTTTCCAGAATATTTGCAATATAGTATTTCAAGAGTTGCCAAAACTTACTATTTGGAAGAAAAAAAAAATGTTGGATCCCTACCTCACACCATTTCCCAAAACAACTTTCAGATTAATTAAAGACCTACCTGTGTTTCATTTTTTTAACTATAAAATTATTCAAAAAACTATAGGAAAATATATTTGTCTTGGGGTAAGGAAGGCTTCTTAAAATATAAAATAAGAAGTTCTATGAAAGATTAATTTGACCACTTCAAATTTCTTAAGTTGTGTATGCTAAAAGACAAAACTAGAGGACAAATGACAGTACTGGCAGACATCACTTATTCACAAATCACATAAGAGTATAGGAAGGCTGCCAGGTGTGGTGGCTTATGGCTGTAATCCCAGCGCTTTGGGAGGCCAAGGTGGGTGGATCACCTGAGGTCAGGAGTTCAAGACCAGCCTGGCCAGCATGGTGAAATCCTGTCTCAAATAAAAACACAGAAATTAGTCGGGTGTGGTGGTGCTAGCTTGTAGTCCCAGCTGTTTGGGAGGCTGAGCAGGAGAATTGCTTGAACCCTAGAGGCGGAGGTTGCAGTTAGCCAAGATCATGCCACTGCACTGCAGCCTGGGCAACAGAGTGAGAACTCCATGATGATGTGCACTTTGGGAGGCTGAGGCTGGAGGATTGCCTGAGCCCAGGAGTTCGAAGCTGCAATGAGCTATGATAGAGCCACTGCACTCCAGCCTGGGTGACAGAATGAAGCATCTTTAAAAATAAATAAATAAAAATAAGGGTCAGGTGAGGGGGCTCATGTTTGTAATCCCAGCACTTTGGGAGGCCAAGGCAGAGGAATCACCTGAGGTCAGGAGTTCCAGACCAGCGTGGCTAACATGGTGAAACCCTGTCTCTACTAAAAATACAAAAATTATCTGGGCACTGTGGTGCATGCCTGTAGTCCCAGCTACTCGGGAGGCTGAGGCAGGATAATCCCTTGAACCCAGGAGGTGTTTGCAGTGAGCTGAGATCGCACCACTGCACTCCAACCTGGGCGACAGAGACTCATCTCAAAATAAATAAAATAAAATAAAATAAAAAGGTAGAAATAGCTATAGTGACATTGAAATATCTCCAAGAGGTTTTTGTTTGTTTTTTTGTTTTTGAGACGGAGTCTCGCCCTGTCGCCCAGGCTGGAGTGCAGTGGCGTGATCTCGGCTCACTGCAACCTCTGCCTCCCAGGTTCAAGCCATTCTCCTGCCTCAGCCTCCTGAGTAGCTGGGACTACAGGCGCCCACCAACACGCCCGTTTTTTTTTTTTTTTTTTTTGTATTTTTAGTAGAGATGGGGTTTCACCGTGTTAGCCAGGATGGTCTCGATCTGACTTCATGATCCGCCCGCCTCGGCCTCCCAAAGTGCTGGGATTACAGACATGAGCTACTGTGCCCAGTCCAAGATCCTATTTCTTAAGCCCTGCACTGTGCCAGGCTCAGGGTTTTGCACATGTGATTTGATGAAATTTCACAGCGGCCCATTTTACAGAGAAGGAAATGGAGTCTTAGCAAGCTGTGGCTTGTTCAAAGTCGTATAAATGAATACGATGGTGAAACTGAGGCCTCTGCCTCAGAAGTTCCTGCTCTTCAGTACTCACCTATAATGACCACTAAGGGGAATGAGAAAAGAAGGAAGGAATGGAGGGAGGGAGGGAGGGAGGAAAATAAGGACTTCTGGGATGGGATTGGGCACCAAAATAAAATCTGAGTAGTTGGAAAAGGGGTGTCAGCGACATAAAGGAGAGTGGATGGGGCAGCTACTCACCAGATGGAGTAATGTCCGTGTGACACAGAGGCCCTGTAGAAGGTTGAGGGACTAGTTCCTTTTTTTTTTTTTTGTCTGAGACAGAGTCTTGCTCTGTTGCCCAGGCTGGAGTGTAGTGGTGTGATCTCAGCTCACTGCAACCTCTGCCTCCCAGGTTCAAGTGATTCTTCTGCCTCAGCCTCCCTAGTAGCCAGGACTACAGGTGCCCGCCACCACACTAGGCTAATTTTTGTATTTTTAGTAGAGACAGGGTTTCGCCATGTTGGTCAGGCTGTTCTTGAACTCCTGTCCTCAGGTGATCCGCCTGGCTTAGCCTCCCAAAGTGCTGGGATTACAGGCGTGAGCCACTGTGCCCGACAGCGAGTTCCTTTCAAAGCCCCTTGTGGCCAGCCCCATCTCACTGGTAGCCCCAGAATCTGAGTCCCCAGCTCCTGTCTCCTCTGGGAAATGAGAATCTTATCCCTCCCTCCTCCTGTCTCCGTAGACAGAAAATCGGACTTCCATTGCCCACCTACTGAAGAAGTCTGAACGCGGACCCCTCTGGCCTGGGCACCCAAGAGTTCAGGCCCTTGAACTCCACCTTTCCAGGGGGCAGAGCTTCTCCTCTCCTGGGTTCAGGAATCTGGGTCCCCATTTCCGTCTTCTCTCAGGAGCTAAGAGCCCTGTTCCCAGCCCCCTTTTCCCAGGGAATCAGGAGTCCTGGCTTCCATCCCCCTCCCATATGAGAATCTAGGAGTCCTCCCTGTCCCCTATCCTCTTCCTGCCTCAAGATCCAGAGATACCTGTCCCCGCCTCCTTCCTCTTTCGGGAATCTGTGTTCCCTTGCTTTAGGACCCAGGGGTCTGGGCCCCAGTCGTGTTCTTTATTTGAACCTAGAATCCCAAAGCTCCAGCTAGTGCTGCCTGGTCCCCCTGCAGGGTGTCTGGGTCTCCATTCTCTCTCTCTCTCTGCCCCCCCACCCCATCCCAGAACCCAGGGAGAAGGAAGGGGCGGCTCACAGAGGGTCAGCAGCTGGAGGATCAGCACCAGGGCCATGGTAGGCAGATATCTGCTGGAGCTGGAGTCAGGGCTTGGTTGCATCCTCTCCCCTCCCAGGAAATGAGGAAACATCAGAAAGCCAGACCCAGATCGTCGTTTAGGGAAGAGAGGATCGAGGTGGGGGCCTGTGGGTGACTGTGTCATAGCCCTATAGCGCTGTGGAAAAGGTTAGCAGGGGGGTCAGTCATAACCTGTGGTGTTCATTAATTTAACTCTAGAAACAAATACTAGTCGGGAGGCGGAGGCAGGAGGATCGCTTGAGCCCCAGAGTTCAAGAGCAGCTTGGGCGAGACCCTGTCTAAAAAATAAATAAATTGTGCCACCACACTCCAGCCTGGGTGATAGAGTGAGACCATGTCTTCAAATACAGACAGACAGACAGAAAGATATCTGTTTTTTAAAAAAAGAACCTATTATGTGCCAGACTCTTGCTGTGATTGACAGATAGAAAAAAATTAGCACCTATTATGTGCCAGACCCTTGCTGTGATTGAAAGAAAGAAAAAAAGAAAAAAAATTTAGCATCTATTATGTGCCAGGCCCCTGCTGTGATACATAGATGGATAGATAGATAGATAGATAGATAGATAGATAGATAAAAATTAGCATCTATTATGTGCCAGGCCCTTGCTGTGATAGATAGAAAATTAGCATCTATTATGTGCCAGGCCTTTGCTATGATAGATAGATAGATAAAATTTAGCACCTGTTAAGTGCCAGGCCCTTGCTGTGATTGATTGATAGATAAAAATTAACACCAATTACGTGCCAGGCCCTTGCTGTGATTAATTGATCGATAGATTGGTTGACAGATAAAAATTAGCACCTATTATGTGCCAGGCTCTTGCTGTGATATTGTGATTGATTGATTGATAAAAATTAGCACCTATAGGCCGGGCGCGGTGGCTCACGCCTGCAATCCCAGAACTTTGGGAGGCCAAGGCGGGCGGATCACCTGAGGTCGGGAAGTTGGAGACCAGCCTGACCAACATGGAGAAACCCCGTCTTTACTAAAAATAGAAAAATTAGCCTGGTGTGGAGGCGCGCGCCTGTAATCCCAGCTACTCAGGAGGCTGAGGCAGGAGAATCGCTTGAACCCCGGAGGCGGAGGTTGCTGTGAGCCGAGATTGCGCCAGTGCACTCCAGCCTGGGCGACTCAGTCTCAGAAAAAAAAAAAAAAAAAAAAAAGATTAGCACCTATTACGTGGCAGACCCTCGCTGTGCGATGTTGGCAGGCACAGAGGGAACTCAGACTCGTTACTGCTCTCAAGCAGCTGCTACCAGTCCGACTGACAGACCCAGACCAGGTCAGTTTCTTAAGTGATCTGAGCTATACTGGCGGTAACAGGGCACTGTGAGAGCCCGCAGAAAGCTCCTAACCCATCTGGGATGAGACCTAGCGCTTCCAGGACGAGCTGATGTTGAGCTGAGACCTCGAAGGAAAGGTTAGTCATTCACCTTCTCCCGGGCTCAGTTTCTTCATCTGTAAAATGGGCTTTCATACATAAACTATAAAATGAGGACTATTTTGTTCCGCCTTAGGTGGTCTCAGTAGGAGGACTAGTTACCCCGGAGCGACTTCTAGGCAGAGACTAAGGAGATTCCACGCAGGTCCGCGAAGTCAGGCTTGCGCTTGCTCTTGGCACTACTTCCTTTACCTCCGCGGCTCCATCTTTGTTCTGCGCTAGTGCGCACGCGCAGACTCCGAAAGCCGTACCTTGCACAGAGGGACCACAACTCCCAGAGTGCTCCGCGTCCTGTTTCTCCTCCACTTCTGCTCCAGGGCGCACGCGCAACCCAGGGAGCGGTTTCTCGCGCGTAGGGACCACAACTCCCAGAGTGCTCCGCGTCCTCGCCGGTGTCGCCGCCGAGACCAAGATGGCTGCAAGTAAGTGCAGGTGCCGGTGGCGCACGGGGCTCGGTGGTACCGGGAACCTCTGGGCGGTCCTGGGAATGAGGTGCGGCAGGGCAGTGGTGGAGGCGATGGGATCCGTGCTGGAGGGGGACGCAGAAGTCACGAGGGGGCTCCTCCAGGGCAGGGGTGGCACGCGAGGGTTAGAGGTCACGGGGGGCAGCCACTTGCAGGGGTGACCCTCCTCGCCACCCCTTCAGGACTCGGCGCCTTCCTCAAGAATGCCTGGGACAAGGAGCCAGTGCTGGTCGCGTCCTTCGTCATCGGGGGCCTCGGTGCGTGAGTGCTTCAGGCGCAAACTTGCATCGTCCACCCCCGTCCCCCTACATCCCTCCATCTTGTACCCCTAAAGCCCTGTCGCCTCCCTCGGCTCCCCTCCAGTGTGTCTGCACCCCCGCGACATCCCCTTGTCTATCCCCATACCCATTATAACGCCTCCACCGTCCCCCGCATTCCTCTCCCCCTACCCAATACGCTCTTAACCCCTCTAAATGAGACGTTCTCAACCCTGCTTATGCATTAGCAACACCTGAGCACCAAAAATAAAGTCCAGATCCTCCTCCTCCCTTTCATCTCCCCTCTCCCACATTCTGAATTGAGTTAGTTTGGTTGGAGGTGGGGCTGGGGAATCTGTGTCTTGTGAAAATCCCCCTATGATCCTAATGTGTTGTCTTGCTGATTGAAAACCTCAGCCCTGGAACTGTGCTACTCACACCTTAATTAGCACCGCAGTTCCTGCAGGGATGGGGCCTTTTTTTTTCTTGGAGATGGAGTCTTACTGTCACCCGGGCTAATGTGCAGTGAGGCGATCCCAGCTCACTGCAAACTCAGCCTCCCGGGTTCAAGGGATTCCCCTGCCTCAGCCTCTCGAGTAGCTGGGAGTACAGGCGCCCACCACCACGCCCGGCTAATTCTTTTGTATTTTTAGTAGAGACAGGGTTTCGCCATGTTAGCCAGAATGGTCTCGATTTCCTGATCTCGTGATCCGCCCGTCTCAGCCTCCCAAAGTGCTGGGTGAGCCACTGCCCACCCCTGGGATTACAGGGATGGCACGTACCACCACGCCTGGCTAATTTTTGTATTTTTAGTAGAGATGAAGTTTCACCATGTTGTTCAGGCTGGTCTTGAACTCCTGATCGCAAGTGATCCGCTTTCCCAAAGTACTGGGATTACCGGAGTGAGCCACTGCGCCCGGCCAAACTGTGGGTTCTGATTCTGTAGGTCTGGGGTGGGGCATGGGATTCTGCATTTTTGAAGAGTTGCCAGGTCTTGTAAGTACTGTTGGTCCACCAGCCAGGCACTAGGTAAGGTTCTGAACACTTGTTCAATCTGGCAGCCACCAGCCATACCTGGCCACTGAGCACTTGAAGTGAGGCTGGTATGAATTTGAGGTGGTATAAGACACACTGGATTTCAAACACTTAGTATAACTAAGTGTGTAAACTACCAATCATCTTTTGTTGATTACATGTTGAAGTGATGTTTGGATATACCATGGTTTTTTTTGGTCTGTTTTTGTTTTTTTGAGACGGAGTTTTACTTTCATCTAGGCTGGAGTGCAATGGCCTCATCTCAACTCACTGCAACCTCTGCCTCCCGGGTTCAAGCGATTCTCCTGTCTCAGCCTCCTGGGTAGCTGGGATTACAGGTGCACGCCACTACACCAGCTAATTTTTTGTATTTTTAGTAGAGACAGGGTTTCATCACATTGGTCAGGCTGGTCTCGAACTCCTGACCTCAGGTGATCCACCTGCCTCGGCCTCCTAAAATCCTGGGATTACAGGCATTAGCCACCTCACCCAGCCAAGTATGTTTCTTAAAATTTGTTTCATCTATATCTCATTTTTACTGTGGCTACTAAAAGATATAAAATTATATACCTGGGTCTTACCATCTGTCAGACAGTGCTGGCCTAGAACATTCTTCATATGCACTATACCCCATCCCCCGGGACTCCTGGCTCCCACCCTAGATGGACTGTGACTTGTCAGTGACTGTTGTTTGCCCAAACCTTTCTTCTCCAGTTTGTAACAGTTTTTTTTTTTTTTGCGACAGAGTCTCTGTTGCCCAGGCTGGAGTGCAGTGGCACAATGTGGGCTCACTGCAACCTCTGCCTCCCAGGCTCAAGGGATTCTCCTGCCTCAGCCTGCTGAGGAGCTGAGATTACAGGCTCCTGCCGCCATGCCTGGCTAATTTTTTTGTATCTTTAGTAGAGATGGGGATTCATCATGTTGTCCAGGCTGGTCGTGTACTCCTGACCTCAGGTGATCTGCCCACCTTTGCCTCCCAAAGTGCTGGGATTACAGGCATGAGCCACTGTGCCTGGCCAAACGTGTAACAGTCTTAATTTCTCCAGAATAGTCCCATGACACTACCCACAGGATGCTCCATGATGACCCCTACACTCAAAACGTACTCATTCCACGACCAACCCCAGTGCTTCCTCCTCTAGGCCCCCTGTATCTGTGAGTGTTAGACTCCCACCCCTACCTCCACTTAACCCCCCGAAAGAGTTTTAAGCCCTCCTGTCTATAAGTAGGGATCCCAGGGTACCAAGGATCCTCCTGGAGGCCCTCCCCGCTGCCCTCCCGCTTTGCAGTTTATCTTTGCCAAGGCTCAGATTCTCTTCCCCTCTCCTCAGAGCCACCTTCCCCTGGGGCTCACCCCTGTGTCTCTCCACAGCTATAATTATGCCCACATTCAGCCCCTACGTCAAGTACTCCATCATGATCAACGAGGCCACGCCCTACAACTACCCAGGTGAGTAGGGGCCAGGCAGGGATCCCTGGGATGGGCCCAGCCTCCCTGTGCTGGGGTAGGGGCAGTTACGGGCAGCTGTTTCCTGAGCAGGCATCAGAGATTCAGCAGTGGCGCCTGGATTCCCGTTCCATTTTTTAAGAATTGAGCGATAATTCGTATCCTATTCTGTGTTTGTGCTTCCAGTTTCTATTACCTTTCTGGGTTCCCATCTGTGTTGTTTTCTGTCTCCATCTTTTCAGGTTTCGGTCCTGTTTCCCCATCTCTTTCGACCCTAGCTCTCTCTCGCTCGCTCTCTCTCTCTCTGGTTTTCCATGTCTCTCAGTCTCTGTATTTCCTGCCTCTTTCTGCATCACTGATTCTCTGACCCTTCCCCTCCTCTCAGCCTTGGGGTCCCCCTTCCCTCTCTGAACATAAAGCGACAGACCAGCTCTTCTCTCCGGGACTCTGGAGACCTGCTGGTCTCAGTGGCCCACCTCCTGTCCCACAGTGCCCGTCCGTGATGATGGGAACATGCCGGACGTGCCCAGCCACCCCCAGGACCCTCAGGGCCCCAGCCTGGAGTGGCTGAAGAAACTGTGAGCACCTTCACTGACAGAGGCGGCCCCTCCCACGGCTCCCAATAAAAATGTGAACACCAACCCCAGAGCGTGGCATGTGTGTGATCAGCGGTGGGAACCAGCAGACGGTGGCCAGGGTGAGCGTGGGCTCAGTTTACTGGGCATGGGTCAGTCAGAGGCTGGGCTGGCCAGAGTTGGGTAGGGCAGCAGTTTGTCTGGACCCCGAGAAACCCAGCTGGAATCCAGGGCCTCATCTGCTTCAAAGCCAAAGTCTTCCTCGACCTTAATCTGCAGGAGAGAAGGAACAAGGTGTTAATAGGCCTGAGAATCCAGAAAAATCCCATCAGCTTCACCATTTTTGTTTTCGTTTTGTTTTGATTTTTAAAGAGACAGGGTCTGGAGTGCAGTGGTGCCATCACAGTTCACTGCAGCCTCTGCCTCCCAGGCTCAAGTGATCCTCCCACCTCAGCTTCCCAAGCAGCTGGGACTACAGGCACATGCCAATCATGCCTAACATGTTTTTTTCTTTTTGGTAGAGATGGGAGTCACAGTATGTTGCTCAGGCTGGTCTCAAACTCCTGGCATCAAGTGATTCCCCATGTAGGCCTCCCAAAGTGCTGGGATTACAGACATGGGCCACTGCACCCAGCCAGCCTCACCGTTCTTGTCTTCCTAGGCCAGTCACCTTCCTCCTCACACCTCAGAGCAATCCCAGTGTTCCTGGGTCCAGATGTTCTTCCAGCTTTCCTCCCCACACTGGGCCTTCCCTTCCACCCCATCTTCTCTGATCCTTCCTCTGATCCTTCCTTCTTCTCTACTCCTAGCCTTGTCTATTTTTCCTTCTCCAGGTCTTCCTCCTTCCCTTTCCAACTTTGCCTCCTTTCACCCAAGCCTTTGCCCCACTTTTTCCAACTACTTCCCTGCCTCATCCTAGGCCTCCAACACATCCTGGTTACCTCCTTTCTTCCACTTTCCCCAGCCCTGGGCCCCTCAGGGTGCAGAACCAAAACGCAAGAGCCCTGAACCTGACTCGGCCCAGCCCTGGCCCTAGCCCCTCCCCTTGAGTCCCCCCGCTCCTCACCTGCATCGGAGCCAGCTCTGGGGCCCCGGCCCCTCCCCTTGAGTCCCCCCACTTCCTCACCTGCACCGAAGCCAGCTCTGGAGTCAGCACAGTTCCCGCTCGGCGTCCATCCCGCGGCACTCGCCGCCTCTTCCGTCCACTGGGCCCCTCGCCGGGCGCTGGGCTGCCAGGTTCTGGGGGTGCAGGAGTCCTTCTGGGCGGGGACAGTGCCTCTTTCTCTGGAGGCTCATTCTCAGCATTGCCTGGGGTGGGAGCATCCGTGCCCTGGCTGCCCTCATCCTGGCGGGGAGGAGGGGGAGGTAGGTGATGGCTGCGTCCTGGGCTCCCAGTTCCTGACCCTCCTGGAGGCCCAACACTCACCTCTAGCACAATGGTGAACTGGCTGGCCCGGTAGTCATCCCCATAGGAGTCCAGCACTCTCATGAGGAACCTGCTCAGGGGGAGAAGCCACCAATGGAGTAAGTTACCTCCTAGCAGCTGGGAAAAGGGCCACAGGATAGAGCTCAGCTCTCACCCCACTCAACACCAAAGCTGTCCTGGACCCAGACGGTCCTGAGCTCTGGCACTGGAGGCCTGGGAGCCACGCCCTTGACCAGCCTTGAGACCTCAAGCAAGACAAGACGACCATTCTGAGGCTGAGTTTCCTGCTGTGCAACGACATGAAACCCTCAACTGGGCTGGATGTTGCAGTGGTGACACCGAAGTGGTGACGCCAGACGATTTCTGTACTTACTGTGATGTCGGCACTCAGTAAACATTCATACGTGAGTTACCATTTTTATTGATCACTGAAGAGGGGAGTGCAGAACGCTCCTAATGACCTCGCCTCTTATCAACACCCCCTTCTCTTCTTTCCCCAGCCCCTGCCTCCAGAGATCCTTAGTTTTTTTTTTTATTTTTTTGAGACAGAGTCTCGCTCTGTCACCCAGGCTGGAGTGCAGTGGCCGGATCTCAGCTCACTGCAAGCTCCGCCTCCCGGGTTCACGCCATT